AGCAAGATGGCTCATTTCGTTCCTGCAAAGAAGTCATTCACAACAGCAGACACCATGGAGCTTCTCGCAGACCGCCTTATCCGCTATCACGGTTTTCCAGAGGTGCTCATATCGGACCGCGACTCCCGTTTCCAGTCGGCTCTTTTAAACCAACTCTGTCGCCGCTTTAACATCAAACGGTGCATGTCCTCTCCCTACCACCCCCACAGCGACGACCAAACTGAAGGGGTTAACCGCACACTGGAGCAGATGCTTCGTACCTATATCAAATCTGACGAACGCGAGTGGGAGCGTTTGCTTCCGGCCTTGGAACTTGCCTACAACACAACAAGTCATTCATCCACTGAGCTCTCTCCTTTCGAGGTCATGATTGGAGAGAACCCATTGACTGCTGCGGACCTTGATATCGTCGGCGCGTTAGCTCCTACGCTCACTCCTCCGATGACTAACCTTTTCCGACAGCTCTGCGACAGAGCACAGAGTCACATCCTGAAGGCGAAATGGCAGCAGAAGTACTACGCAGACACGAAACGCCGAGCAGTGGAGTATGCGGTGGGAGACAAGGTCTGGCTCAGCAGCAAGCACCTACCGCCTTTCAACAGCTGCCCTAAGTTCGAGCCCCGTTACCGTGGACCCTTCGAAGTCCTCGAACGCATAGGAACTGTCGCTTACCGTCTCGCTCTGCCTCCCACTTATGAATGCCATGACGTTTTCCACGTTTCACAGCTAGTTCCCCACCGCCCCCGCCCTCCCACTTTGGTTCCCTCGGCAGCCGACGCTGCCTGGCCTCCTATCCACGATGCAGCAGGCAATCCCACAGAGGAATACGAAGTCGACTATATTATGGACCAACGCGGCTCGGGAGATGCAGCCCAGTACGCGCTCATCACCTTACTGGCTGCCCGGCTTTGCTTCGCGCTTGGCGCCGAGGCCAACGAAGACGTCTTCAGGCTCGAAACAACAGTGGTCCTTCCGAGGCGTAGACGTATGGGTCCGCCACATTCCAGCTCCTACAGCAAGGTCACCCTTCCATGAGGAGTGGGGAGGGAGCGCTGCGCACCGCGTGCGCTCACGACGTCAGCTTTAGAAGAGCACAGAGATTGAAAAGGCAAAAATAATGTGTTTTGGGGTAGGTCTCTTCAGTCCGGCAAGGGGGGAAGTTGTAGTGCACAGGCACTACAGTGGGGCCGGCTAGTGTCCTTGTAGTGCACTGCGCCCGCAGCTGCGACTACGTGCTTTCAGTCCCTTGGGCAGGGTCTATAAACTGCACCCTACGCTAGTCCATTTCCTAGAAACTACAGCTATTGG